ACCGGCTCCATTGGCTGTCGGGTTTCCCTTCACTCCTGTGGGGCCCTGATGTGCCCGGGGCCTGGACCTCTTACCCCGAGACCCAGCAGGGAGGCGCGTGAGGTTTTTATTACCAGGCTAGTTATGCCAGCCAGCGCATGCCCTAGTGTGGGTGCAGTTATACCGGCCTCAAGGCGCCTCACTGCAGTATTGTCCCTGCCATGTGTACCAGGAGAAAGCACCTTCCCAGCACTGGATCAGCACCCCCATCGGGGCGGGGGGCACGTCGCTGTAAGGCAAGCTATACGCTTAGAGCCACAGCTGGGGTGTAGCGCAGCCCTGACTGAATGCCTTAGAGGGGGGGATTGGATGTGGGGCTCTCCCCCTGCTCGTGAGGGGCTGGGCCACTGCTCTTGGTGGGGGGAAGGGCAGTGCCATCTAAACGTGCCCTTATTTTAACTAAAAGACTTAAAAATCCCCTTTAAAGCCCCAGTCGAGCAGGGTGCTCCCCTGGCAGAACGGAGCGGCTGAGTCTGGGGTGGGACCCGCAGCCCTTACCGCCCCCTGGTGGTAGTGATGGAGGTTCCAGCTGGGTGAGGATGCAGCCTCCTCCTGTCCCTCAGCTGAGTCACCGTCCTAAGAAGGGAAAGAGCAGCTGGCAGACCCCACCGCAGCGCGGGGCTGGAGCAGCGCCCACTAGGCCAAAGGCTGCGTCTTGCTAAAGCCGGGCGTGGTCCCGGCTGCGGTCTCCAGGCAGAGTTTCCTAAAATAAGTGGGGCCTTGTGCGCTGGAGCAGGGAGAGCCCGGCACGGGTCCTGGGAGGTTTCAAGGGCCTGTGGGTGGTGGCGGTCATGTCAAAGGATCTGTCCCAGCCTGGGGCACGTGGCTTTTTGCAGCCGAGATTAAGTACTAACAACAAATCGTGGTGTTTCAGGAAAGCAGAACCACGACTCCCCAGTTAGTAACACTGCCCCTGCCCATGCCGGGTTTAATAAACATGACCCACCCACCTCACCCCCCGAATGCTGCCGGAGGGTTTACAGCCAGAAGGCCCATTACGGTGTCTCTAGGCTGCCCTGCTGCGAATCACAGGCGGGCGTTACAGCTCCCCCACCCATCTCTGTTTTAAGCCAAAGACTTCAGTTGGCCCAAAGCGTTTCAATGCTGAACACACCCCTCTGTTACGTATTAGCCCCATTTGCCAGCCAGGGCCCCATATGCTCCGAAAAGAGGGCACGGGCAGGGGTCGCGAAAAGAACCCAGGAGTTCTGAGTTCTACACACTCCCCTGCCCCCCCTTTGCTCTAACCACTAGACCACACTCCTGCCCAGGGCCAGGAATAGAACCCAGGTGTCCTGCTGCCCCCCTTCTTGCCAGGGTTCTTGTACCCTGGCACAAGGCTGTAGTGTTGCGGGGGGAAGCGAGGTGGGGGGTGATCGCTGCTGGCTGCATTCCCCACAGCAACACTTTAATGGGCACTGACTGCCCCTTTGGGCTGTGGGTGTGCAGCGCCCAGCACAATGGGGGAGCAGGGCCCTGACTGGGGGGGGTGGGGGGCTGGCTGCACCCCGCCCCCAGG